TTTTAGCTTTTCATCCTTACACCCCAGAGCAACAGTGCGGAGAGTACTAGCAAACTTACCGAAACGCTTCAGCTCCCGTTCCAGCGCCTCATTCGGGATGAATGGAGGAACGCCAGACACAGTGATCCGCGTGGACGGTGTTGCCAACGGCGAAACTTGAATATATTCCTCGTTTACCATTAATCCGCTCTCAATAAGTTCCGTCACATATTTCTGGTCTTTCAAAAAGACCACGACCGCTTTGTTCATGCGGGAAGCATAGGAGATGTTTACATGACCGACCTGCTCCCCCACAGCCAGCAGCACCTGCTCCACTGTGCATGCGGCCTGAGCCACCAAACGCACCCCGTGTCTCAGAGACACCGGCGGCGCCCCGCAGGACGCCATCCCCGCCACGAGGCACGGAAAAACACTCACGAAAAAGTATTAACCGTACTTGCAAAGAGTACAAATATCCCCACGTAAGATCATACAGTTAAAGAAACGATTGAAACAGAAACAAACGAAATACAAGTAAAAATCCCTCTTCCCTCTTAAAAAACACACCTCCACCACAGAAGAAGAAGAAGAAGAAGAAGAAGAAGAAGAAGAAGAAGAAGAAGAAGAAGAAGAAGAAGAAGAAGAAGAAGAAGAAGAAGAAGAAGAAGAAGAAGAAGAAGAAGACATTTTAGAAACCAGATCACATTGTTTGATCTAAAAATGGTGCGCTTCAAAAAAGGCAAGACAAAGAAAGCTTTAGACCTCTGGCAACAAGCAGGAGGTAGAGATTTCATCACCAGGTCTTTAATTTCTCATGGTTTTAGTGAAGTTAATGTTACAACTGAACAGTGGTCCTCAGTTACACTTACAGTGTTTAAAAGTAATAAGAAAGAGCATCTTAAGTGGTTGAGGGTCATCTGGGGTGAAGACCGACGTGGAGTCCGGACTGAGGTGCTTCAAGCAGGTACTGTTAAAAAATAACTTTGATGAGCCCCAGAGCAGAGTCCTGCCTCGGATACCCGGCGGATAACCCGCAAAATAGTTGTGTAACGGGCAAAACATACATGTAGGCCTATATCCAGGGGTGCACATAACTGGTACGCAGGTACGCATGCGCGGCAACAATCTGAATTGCGTACGGTCACTTGTGTCACAAAGCGCATTTGCGTACCGACGTACTTGTGAAGCTTTTCCAGAAGGCGGTTAGATCACCGGTCTCCGTGTGCACAGACAGGGCTGCTGTTAACGTCGGTCTGTACAACGGAATTGTGCCAAAACTACGCCAACCGGCTGCGGAGGGAGACTCCCCCCTTCACTGGAGAACTGCGCTAAAACAGCTGATCACAACGTTCACACTCTGTGGTCACGAAGTACTCCACTAGCCCCCCCCCCCCCCCCCCCACCCCCACCAAATTCACAACGGGTCGGGTCGTGGGTCTTATATCAACAGGTCGGGTCCAGATTTGACTTGAAGATAATTGCATGTAACGGTCGGTTCGCGGTAGCTACTGAGCTGCGAGGGTTCGGGTGGGTGCAGATTTGCAAAACTGGACCCATGCAGGACTCTGCCCCAGAGGCTTTTAAGTTGAAGCTTAACCCTTGTGAATCCCTTTTTAAAAACGTTACTTTGAAAACACTAACGACAAAAATGTCCTCATCTAAAAATACTGTAATAAAGATATTATAGGCTATGTTAATATTTTTGTTCCACTTTCAATTACTTACATATTTTTAACCAAATTCAGTGCTGATCATAATTATCAAATGTTCATTCATTTTTATTTTTGTCGCTAGGGATTTGAAAGTCACTATTTTGATTACACATACGCTTATTAAGAACATGTTTCCAAAAAAACACATCTTTACCAAATGTCGTGCCATATTCTTAACACAATCAGAATGCTCGCAAAATTAAACAGTGGCATGGATAATACATTTCCTTAGGGAGGCATAAGGGTTAATGTGCTTATTTAATTAAATACTGCATCACAGTAGGATGTTAACAGAATTTACTGTAATTGACCCAAGGATGGCAGATTGCTTAAAGTTGCATTGTAGTCTTACGATAAGAGATACAGTAATTAAATGAGATTTTGTACTTTTGTAATGTTTGTATTTAGGAAAATATGTCAGTGAAAGAGGGAGAGATGGACAGCACAGTATCAAGAAACAGTGTTACAGCGCACCTACGGGTGAGGAAGACGAGGACACAAGTCAGGATGACAGGGAAATAAGTAACGCACAGCCACAGTCTGAGATAGACACAGAAGAGTCAGACCAACAAAGTACAGAGACAGCCACCAAAATGACAACAACAATGAACGGAAAGGGACAAACAGGCAAGGACAAGAAAGGGCCAGAAAAGGATAAAAAACGAAAAAGGAACAAACGAAAAACAGGGACAGAGCCTGTGGGGAAAGATGAAGATAAGAATGATGAAGAAAAACAGTGTTACAGCGCACCTACGGGTGAGGAAGACGAGGACACAAGTCAGGATGACAGGGAAATAAGTAACACACAGCCACAGTCTGAGATAGACACAGAAGAGTCAGACCAACAAAGTACAGAGACAGCCACCAAAATGACAACAACAATGAACGGAAAGGGACAAACAGGCAAGGACAAGAAAGGGCCAGAAAAGGATAAAAAACGAAAAAGGAACAAACGAAAAACAGGGACAGAGCCTGTGGGGAAAGATGAAGATAAGAATGATGAAGAAAAACAGTGTTACAGCGCACCTACGGGTGAGGAAGACGAGGACACAAGTCAGGATGACAGGGAAATAAGTAACACACAGCCACAGTCTGAGATAGACACAGAAGAGTCAGACCAACAAAGTACAGAGACAGCCACCAAAATGACAACAACAATGAACGGAAAGGGACAAACAGGCAAGGACAAGAAAGGGCCAGAAAAGGATAAAAAACGAAAAAGGAACAAACGAAAAACAGGGACAGAGCCTGTGGGGAAAGATGAAGATAAGAATGATGAAGAAAAACAGTGTTACAGCGCACCTACGGGTGAGGAAGACGAGGACACAAGTCAGGATGACAGGGAAATAAGTAACACACAGCCACAGTCTGAGATAGACACAGAAGAGTCAGACCAACAAAGTACAGAGACAGCCACCAAAATGACAACAACAATGAACAGAAAGTGCAAAGCAGGGCCAAAAAAAAGTTCAAAATTGCCATGACAAGAAAACAATGGAACAAAATTAAACCTAAACATGGCAAAAAAAAACTCCGCCCCCCCTGGACTGATACATTATATCAAGAATTTTTGAAAAATAATCCATGCTGCACACTTGCTTTCAAATACCAGCATGTTAAGACAAATGATAGCCGTAAAAAGAATTCGCCATTTTTCTGTGCCTCTGCAAAATGCACATTTAATGGATGCAACGCTGTCTACAGTTTCTCAAAAAAGAACAGGCCAAAATCAACGGATAAAAAAAATATTTTTAAAGTCATGCGCATTGGTGAAGTTATACACCATAAAAATCAAAGGCGATTTAGACCAGCAAAATACACAAGAAGAGGAACAATTTCCAAAGCCTTAACCAGTGGTGTCAGCAATTATTATTACACTATGTTCAGACAGACAGCAGTAGAGGAAATAATGGCTGGTAACATAAGCAGAAGCCTCACCAAAGACGTGTTAAAGAAAATATCCTCTGAAGTGAAGAAAAGTGCAAGGCTCCACGATGACATGATGCTTGAACTCATGTTGACTCAAAAAATAATCAAAGAGAGCAGCAGTCATGCATCATCAAAAGGCTATCTTCAGCACCTACAAATTGATCCGTTTGCTGTACATTTCTACACAGATGCTGGAATGAAGATATTGACTGAGCACTTGAAAAAGCCAACACCTACGACTCTCTACCTTGATGCCACAGGCAGCGTGATACAGAACATTCCTGATCAAAATAAGCGGGTCTTGTATTATGCTTTGGTTTTGCCCGGAATGGGTTAGGATAAGCCTCCCTTGCCTGTCACAGAACTGATCACCAACAGCCATTCCATTCCATCTATTTCCCATTGGCTCATGGAATTGAAAAGAAAGTTGTCTTACATAACAAAAAGAAAGATAGCACAGGTTGAGACAGATTATAGTTGGGCTCTGATAAACAGTGTGCTTCTGTCTTTTAACAGGGAAAATATGTCAGTGTACCTTGACAGAGCATTTGAGATAGTGTCTGGACAAACTGAACTGATTCCTAACTTCACTGTGCTGCATCTGTGCTCTGCTCATATCATGAAGGCTGTGTCACAAGCATTTGGGAAACAAACTGTAGACAGAGGCACACAGGAATATGCAACATTCTGTTTTGCGTACATCCTGAACTGCACAAGTATGCAGGAAGCCCTTGATGTTTTTTAGCATAGTGTGTGCTTTTTGATGCAGAGGAGTACACTCATTCGGTGAAACAGAGCAAAATGTACCTCGACGAGTGCATTTTGCAAACTCGGGACTTGAAACTGGAGGAAAGTGGACATGTAATGGGAGAGGAGGAAAGCAAAATGGAAACAAATGCTCATAGCATTATTGGAAAGTCCCCTTTTACACAAGCTTTTCAAGTCAGGCGGGACCAAGCAGAGTGTGACATTCTCTCTGACGATGCTGTTCAGGTAAAAAACCACTACCTCTGTCCTGGTGTCATTGATGCACTGTTCAAAAACTACATGGGGATCTTCCCATTGTGGAGTGGTTTGTTGCTTGGGGGTCTGTCGCGACATAGAAAAGGTAACTCTAAAAAAGATGGAAGTCACAAAACCAGGGATACCAACTGCCATGTTGAGCTCTGGTTTGGGTTGGTCAAACACTCCATCCTTTTAAAAGAAAGTACCTGAGACCAGCTGAGTTCGTCTCCAAAATGTATGCCTCAATACAAGGAAGATATATAGAGCACATTGAGCAACACAATCTGCCAATGCATATTCTGGACAAAAACTTTGGACATCCTAGCAGGCCAGATGATGACCACGAGGAACAGTGGAACAAGCGGGAAAGTTCTGCTGGTCACACCAAGTCCAAGTCCAAGTACTTCAATCCACCAAAAGCACTACCCAACCCCAAGAGCCCACCTGCCACAAAGGGGAAGAAAAGAAAAGTGGAGCAACAGGAATAAGACGCACAGGGAAATGTGAGTTTCTCTAAGACTTACTATGTTCAAAGTGTGTCAATTGTTCTCCAGCATTTTAATTGTAACAACGGAATAAGTAAGTATTGTCAGAAAGTAAAGCATGGACTAAATTGGTAAAGAGTGAGGTGAAGGACAAAGGACATGAAGTATTATAACCCAAGATGATTAGGTGCATGTTGTAGGGGGAGAATATGAAGATGTAAACATGTAAATACAGCTTACAAACTTATAACAGAAACTATATTTCAAAATCAGACTTTAAACTGCAATTACAGTTTCTGTTCCTGAGCAGCCTGTTTAATGTCATTTAGTGAAAACTCTAAAAGGGACTGAGGTTAAATGCATAAACATGGACAGTTTAATGATAAGTTGTGTATGTAGCTTTGATGGTGCATATACAAAAACAAGGCCTTCACCCAAAAATTCAAGATTGTTAACCCTCTGGTGTCATTCAAGTGCACTACCCTAATTAGTCATTCGGGACCAAAATGTCCAGAGTGATACCGGAGGGTTAAAAGATTCCTCAAGTGTCCATATTAAACAGACTGCATCTATTTCCCCTCAATCCTAACTTGCAGTTGACCTGGCTGTGTAAAAAAAAGGACACAGAGGTGGTCGTGGCAGTGCTCCCCTCACAGATGAAAGGACGCATCTTGCTTATCCGCCACTGTGAGCTATGCTGACTTCGACCCCACCAGTGGTTGACAGGGGAGGTACTACATGTTTCAAGTGTCTGAAGTTTCACTCTACACTGTGTTATTTTCTTTATCTAGCATTTAACGATTTCTCCCCAAAATGTCTAGATACTTTTGTCAGTGACAAGATTCTCAAAGTTGCAGGAAATGAAAGTTCAGTATAACTGGGAATATGCATTAATTGGCAAATTGTTCTGATCTTTTTTGCCAGGTAATTGAAGGCGTGTTTCATGTTGCTGCCGACAAATTGGCCGTTCTGAACAAAATGTACTTGCTAAATCACTACACAGCAGGTGTCATTTTGTTCGGGGACAGAACTCAGCTAACATCTCACCGTTTACCGAAGGTAATGTGTGTGGTCTGTGTATGTTTATGTGTGTGGTGTGTTGTGTTTGTGCATGGTGATGCTGTAGGGGGAAGAAGGTGTGGATTTGATTTGTGGGCTCACACTCACACATTAGGTACATGGAGTGAAGCATTGGCTGAGGTCTTAAATAGGAAATGAGCTGAGATTATTTTACTTTATCCTCTCTGAAACTATACTCATTAGTTAAATCACCTGATACATCTACTTACTATTGAATTCCCATACCAACACTTGTTTTAAGAACAACAAATGAATGGCACAAGAACATCATTGTCAGACTAATGTTGTTGTTATTTTTACCTTAGCCTTCAAGTTTGTTTTAATCCTTTATTTGATGCCATTATAGGTCAACTTTGACAACTATGAAGCTGTCCTGTCCTTTGTACTTGTCAACAACAACCACTGGAAGTTGCTGGTTTGTATTATTTCTGTTAAAGCACAAGACTTACATAGTGAAACCAAACATATTTTTTGATGAAAAGTGCTTTTACTTGTTTTGTTCTCTCACAGTACATTCATGCCAACACCAGCACCGTATTCCTGGTGGATCCAGCTCAAAGCATCAAACAGCTTGATGACTCCGAACATGCTGCCAAAAGAATACAGTCAATCAAAATTCAATAGATATTTGAAAATTCAAGTAAAAACTATATTTAAATGTAAAAAATGTGTCACATTTAGTTACATTCATACTCACAAACAGCATTGAAAGCATTTTAAACAGTCTGATACAGTCTGTGTTCAGACAGTGATATATATAGCTGACCTGTGGCTGCCCCTTATATAAATAAATATATATGGTGAATACAAACAGTATGCATTTCTGTTACATTATCTTTAGGAGCCACATAATTAGAAATGTAAAGTGTGTTAACATTATCCTTTCTCAGGGAGTACTTCAGGGTGAGGAGGACACGCCACAGCATAACAGACTGGGTGGATGTTAAGTGGAAGGGAGGCGTTATGGGCCACCCACTTCAAACGGATGGATGTAGCTGTGGTGTCGTTGTTGTGAAGGTGAGCTGAAGAGATTCTGTTTTCATCCAGTTAACAAGCAGAGTTTTTAATGTGAAAGACAGTTTAATGCAAGGGCGGATTAAAAAAGCTGTCAAAAGTAGTTGTTGACCGATAAAGGTTTTTTAAAGGCCGATGCTGATCCCCATCATATTTAGCAGGCAGGTTGGCCAATGGACAATATACAGTATATTGCCGATATCATGTTGTTGTTTATTGTATTTTTCACAACTGACAACAATTGGATTATGACACAACATTGCTGAACTTAAATTAACAGTTATTTAATACTAATGTAGTATTCACTTGAACACAGAAAGTTTCATTGACAAAACTTTGCTTCCAAATATCTCAAAATTCCAATAATAGGACCGGTCTATATCAATACTCAAAGGTTTTGGGAGGCATTCTAGTCAAGGGTGGATGTCTTCTATAATGTGTCTCATGTTTGTGTCTGTATCTGTATTACTATACAATAAAGAAGAAAAACCCTCCATAACATAAGTGTTGTTTGTTTAGATGGCAAAGGCAGTCATGGAGTCCTTCCCTCTGATCCCGAATGTGAATTTCGAGTGTTCGAAGAAATACATGAAACGGGAGAGGAGAGAACTGGCTCTCGAAATCCTTGAGGCATCAGGTAAATAAATATGATTATATGTATATGTATATATGGGTGTCTGTATGAATATATATATGTATGTATGTATATGTATGTGTATATAGAAGCTGACATACATGTATTGTTATCTTGTTTCAGTCTTTGATGAGCACACTTATTGTGCTATGTGTGCTGCCTTAAGGCCTCCAGGATCTGGATCTCCCATCACAGACTGGGTGAGCTGTTGTGAAGAAAATGTGGAATTGTCATGTATACATTTATGTATTCATTTATTTAACAGGGACAGTGCACATTAATGAACATTTCTGTAACTGTGCCAGAGTTAGCCAAGAGGCTATTTTTCATCTGTAGTCTCTGGACAGATTTTAAAAGTCAACCTCAAACACATCATTAATTTTAAACAACTAAATACAATACATTTAAAACATGCAACACACATTAATGGAATACTTAAATTAAAAAAATGTAAAAGATAGAAACAATAAAAAAACAAAAAAAACAAACAAACAATAGAGCATGTTAAAACACAGGCAGTGGGTTTTAAGGAGCAGATGATTGTGTCAGCTGATTCCTCACTAACACTTAAGTATTAAGACAACTGAATGGTAATCTAAGGTACAAATATATAAATACACTATTTCTTTCACTTCAACAGGTTCAGTGTGATGACTGTGAACGATGGTACCATGCCCAGTGCCTGGCAATGGACAGCAGAGACTTTAAAAAGGCAGAGACAGGATATTGGAATTGTCCTTTGTGCAATACTTGAAATGTGCTCAATGATGACGATTAGTAAAACATGTGTCCTGTGTAGCCTTGTTTGTATTACTTTCTGATCATTAATCACTGGGTCACATGACAGGGAAGCTCTAGAAAAAAACCCTGAATTTTTTAATAGAAATATTAATATTAAATAGAGGATGTAATATTATCCGATATAAAGAGCTGTTTCTATTGTGTACAGACTTGTATTCAATTCATAAAGTGATTTTGAGTCATTAGTTATTGAAGCACATTTTCACATACAATTATTAATATAAAAATATTTGGAGTATTAAAATACAATAAAAAGAGGTGTGTCCTATGCAGCCAGTGTAGTTCTTTGACCCAACATTGATTTTGAGTAAATCGGTCACATGACCTGGAAGGTATTGAAGAAATAGGCTCATTTTTCCATCAAAATATTAATATAAAATATTTAAAGTATTAAAATGCAATAAAGAGAGGTGTGTTCAACAAATGCATGCTCTAGCGTGGATTTGCTTCACATTCACTCGATCGGGAAGCTGTCGATTTATTAAAAATAAAAATGTTCTTGTGTAATTGAAAAGTCATTTGTTGATGGTCCCTAAGTGAAAGCCTCGTTTCGCGGAGAAGATCTCCCCGTCGTAATACACACAGCAGCAGGGGAAACTGACGCTGCTGGCGGGTCCGCGAATGTCCGTCGAATATCCAACCTAAAACTAAATTCACCGCGGTCCTTTAATTAAGCTGCTATTCCATTTAACATTTCAAAAATTTTTTTTTAACTAAACAAACAACTACGGTAAAAAGTAATTTTTCTTTCAAAACAATATAATGTTCGTGTATGTTAAGGGTAAATGTGTTTTTATAATAATTAAAATGTTTGTCTTGTTCTTTTTATATAATGTTTACCTTTTATTTAGTTTAGTCACATTGTCCTATGTATGAGGGATTAGTGTGTTTGTTTGAAGGTTAAGGATGATGTTTTACATTGGAACTTTTTCAAACAAAAATCAAGAAAAAAAGGGTGTTCCCATGATGCACCTTTTATCCCGGTGCACCTGCACACCTGTGTGCACCATGGTGTGCACGCGCTGATCGAGGGCGGCTCTGACAGCTTCTAGAAGCTTTTCATCAGTGCAGCCGTGATCTCCAGCCGACAGCAGCCTCCCAGGAACAGGTCAGTAACAAACATGTCGCTGAGTTGTGTCGTTTCACCTGAAGTTGTTCAATGTTTCATACTATTTTACTTTTTAAGGCGAAGAAACTTTTTTTAAATAATTGGTGTTCGGTTTGGGCAGGGCCTTCGTGTCCGCGCGTGTTGGAGCGATTCACTTTGTTTGCGACGTGTATAAGATGAATGATTTTAGCTCTCTTATTGCTTTTATCATCTTTATTCCTGTGACTGGTCACTTTTTGTGGTGACGTTAGTTTTTTTTACCAAGCGAAACTAGTTTATTCCACAAGTTTAAAAACCTTAAATGTTATCTGCCATTTAAAATGTCTCGAAGTGTTTCTCGCGCTGTGTTTGTAGGTGTGTTTGCATTTGTGTTCACGTGCAGCAACATTTTTATTAAGCCTAATTTCCTCGAAACACACACACACGCACAATGTACTGTCTTCAAAACCTTTTATTACCATCCTGTTTTTCTACTTTTTAAACTAATACATTTTCAATAAGACAGTGCTGGAAGAAGAAGTATTAAGATGCTCTACTTGAGTAAAAGTACCAATACATTGTCAAAATACTTCATTACAAGTAAAAGTCATGCTTTCAAAATCTTACTTGGGTAACAGTAGAAAAGTATTTCAGCTAAATGTAAAGTAAAAGTAGTCATTGTACAGACACATTGCCTTTGTGTGTATTTAATTTATATATGTGACATTTCTAATTAATATTGTCCACTAGTTTAATTTTTAGAGATGCATTTAGTTAAAAGTAGCTAAAGCTGTTAAATAAATGTAGTGGAATACAATTACATTATTTCCCTCTTAAGAAGTAGTGGAGTATAAGTTTTTAAAGCAGCATTAAACGGAAGTACTGAAGTGGAGTACAAATAACAACAAATTGTAAGTAGGCCTACAGTAGCTTACCAAAGTAATACCACCCAGAAGCCAGAAAATAAATGAAAACAGGAAAATAAAACCATTTGCAAGCAGGCAGAAAAGAGGCAAAATAATTTTGGAAAAAAAGGAAGAATGACTGTTGGTTAAAGTCAATGCTGACCTGTTCACAATTAGGTACAATTTGCAAATCAAAAGCTTAAAGTATTCTTAATCAAATCAATTCACAATGAAAAAGAAAATGCTGTCATGAGACCCCAAAAACGGTATTTGCTAGGTTTTCATCAGCTGCTTTCCTTTACAGCTGAAAGCGAACATAAAGCCATCAAATACAACAGATAGCTGAAAAAGCGATGTCGCTGATCCAAACATGTTGTTTTTGATACCAATACCAGTGATATTCCACTATTCACAATGTCTAAATTAATTTTTCATCATTAACATTCAAACAAATGTGTTATTCTCAGAGGCGCAGAGCTGTTTGTTCTGTATAATATATTACTACGTTTATCAAAAAGGCTAATTTAATGGTATAGATTTACAGTTGCTTATCATTATTACATGACTTAAAGTGGACCTATCATGCTATATTTGAACAATATATTGTAGGGCCATACCTATATAAATATAGTTTTTTTTTCTTTTTTGAAAATACCAAACGGATCATGCATCTTAGCCATGCCTCATTTCGCTCTGTTTGCTCTTTCCAGCCCTGTTTTTGCAGGGGCTGATTCTGTGATGTAGCTTTAATGCAAATGAGCTGCAGCTGACCACGCCCCCCTGCAGGAGAGGGCAGCGTGCTTTGAGATCAGCTGCTGTCAGAAGAGGGGGAGAAAAAGAGATCTCCGTCCTCCGTGTTTTATTCTTATATGATTATATAGAGTCGTTATTCATTTGTTTTAAAGCTCAATAAATAACAAAGAAGACCTTTGACCGGCACTTTTCTAATTTTGTCCGTAAGATTTAAACTTTAACGGGCATGTTGACCGGCAAAAAAAAATCGAACTGAAACTCTGCCGCACGGTCCCCTCGTCCCATGGAAGAGGCGGAGAGGTGGGTGTTTGTCATCTGCTGGTGGACTAACCGGAGAGAATTACAGTGCTTGCCTCGACGGGGAGGGATTGCATTGAATTACAGCAGCGGGAGCAAACTCTGGCCTCGGGGAGGGAGAAAAAGAGCCACAGCGGAGAATAAACGGAAGGGCAACCATGGCAACCATGCGCGGGAAGTCTTCTTCACTGCTTTTGTGGCAGACTACAGCGCCACTTACAGGCCTGGCATATGTACTACAGCGTCTCCAGCGCTTTTGAGTGGCAATGGCCGGCCGTGGCCCAACCCCACATTCCCCTGATAGGTGGAGAGTTGGCCATATAGGCGGAGCTCCTTTTTCCTGACGTCAGAATTTTCAAATCTGTATCCGATTCGTTCCAGCCCCGTTTTTAGAGATTTGGGTATGGAGGAAAAGAGAGAGGGTTGTGTTTTCTGACACACCGGGGACACATATTCATGTATAAAAGACATACAAAAGTGCATTTTGCATGATAGGTTCCCTTTTAATTTAGCTGACGCGTTTATCCAAAGTGACTTGCATACACTTCAATACCATGCACATGCCTACGGTAGAACTTAGGGTTATGGTTGACATGTTGACTGTAAGGGATTGAACCGCTAACCCTCTGATTGGTAGATGCCCATTCACCCCCTAAACTACAGCGGCCCCATTGCATAGCTACAAAAATGAATCCTCAGAATGGACCTTTGAGGAACCCCATTGTTATTCTAGTTACAAACAGTTTCTATGGATTGGTTTATGACTTATCTATATGGATAAGTCATAAACCAACCTAAAACCGAGACAAATATAACTTCTACACACCATGGGTCTTTATCTTGGCTAGTTGCTGCACACGGCTTTCAAATGATTATTTGATGTTTTGAACGTTTTTTGTTTTGTTACAAATATCTAACCTGTTTTTTGCTGAAATAGACTATAGGTTTCACTTTATTCTACATATTAAGACTAAACTGCACCCAAAACTGTAAGGTTGTATGTAAACCTAAAGAGAATTCCTGTTAGTCAGGATGTGTGGCAAAACACCTTGTACATGTTGCTCTGGCACATTCCTGGAAGGAGGGAGGGGGTGAAAGATGGAGGTTAGAGAAGAGCCGAACCAGTCTGTTCAGTTGTCAGCCCTGTCTCTCTTGACATCACGTGACATGAATGTTAAAGAACTGACTGTTCAGAACAGCACTTCCCTTCAGAACACCACATGATACAATCTGCTTATTTCTTTGTTTTTGAGGAACTCATATTGAACCAGTATAACATTCCTTTATTAGATGATTGTAGAGTTCTGCAACATATCAGGCTGCTGCAACACTGCGTTTTGTCCCAATCTAACCTATTTCATCATCAGAAAAATATTTTTTGATGCAAGTCGTTCTTTTCAACGTATGATCTAGTATTTCCTGTTTTAGTTTGAAACCACGCCAGTCCACTTATGGTAAATTCCCAAAATAACGCCTAAAAGCCGTTCCGGTGTTTCCAGCTAACAAGGCACATGTCTGTATAGCTCACGCGTCTAAGAACAGCAGGAAAGCTGAGTGTTTGTTATAAAAAATGATAGTCAGGTCAAGAAGTGAAGATCCAATTGTTGATACAAGTTACCATTAGGGTTGGGTATCGTTTGAATTTCCACGATTCTGATTCCGATTTTACTTTTCGATTCCGGTTCTTAACGGTTCTCGATTCCGATTCTTTGAGGGGCAGGGTAAAAAATGATACATGCTTCTTCCACCAAAAAAATTACATTTATTCGAGAAACTTTTACACAGGTTAGTTTCCAGTAATATTCACATTAATCAGTCTGTTTATATTCACTGCTATGTAACTGTAACCTGAGAACCACTGAAGCTACAACAGTCCAACTTTTAAAGGAAACCCCCCCCCCCCATTTAAAAACAGTTCTTGTTGAGAAAAACAAGCATATTCTCAGGCATACCGGGAAGAAATGTTTGAACATTTTAAAGTAAAATGTTTCAATCTGGTGCACTTTAAGCAGAATTACTAGAGACTAGATCTAGGGGGTACAACTCTAAACACCCATATGAAAAAGATCGGTTTACATTTTAATAATTAAATAAGTATGTG